CTTTAATAAGGGTCTAAATGATTCAAAATTTGGGGGTAAATGATTCAAGAGAAAACTTAGAGGGAATTTTTGAAGTTTTCCGTTTTTTTATTCAATCGTGGGAATTGAATAAACTATCAAACCCCTCACCACTAGACCTGTTATAGTGTCTTATCAAGTATGTCATCTAAATGTATAAGGAATGAATATAATTTCTCACATATCATGAGACATATAAAAAAATAGGTGAGATTTACTAAGGAAAAGAGAAAAAAAAAGAGGTTTACTAAGGAAAAGAGAGAGAAAAAAAAAGTGAATCTCGTCCACTTTTTTATGTATTACACAAAATAAATTATTCCATACAACATGAGAAACTATATCCTCAATGTTATTTATAAATGATTTTTTTAACAAATAAATAAACATTTGATTTAAAGGTAAACACTTTTAAAATATGTAATAATTCATAAGGTAAAGTGTGCAACCACGTCACTTCGAGAATGTTGGTAGTGTAAAATCCAGCAGCTACAGTTGGATCCTAGTTCTCACGGGAACAAGGGTGATATGATTTACCTCCTCTGTACATCTCGTATGATTTTAGAGAGTGAAAAGTGTGTGTCTTTTTAGAGGACACACACTTATATCATTTTAAGAGAGATAAAAGAATAACTTGGGGGGGAGAGAGTGGAGGAAAAAATTTGTAATTTAAAAATTTAAAAAACACACTATATTCATCTAAAAAGACCATCCTTTTAAATGACAAATACTAAACCCTTTTAGAAAACCCTAAAATAGGATTTACATCATGATCTTTCAATTTTTAACCTCCACATTAAAAAAAAACACTTGGAGATACACTGAAATGAACATTTAAATACACATTAGATTATATTATAAAGGAGTTTATATTTGTCATTTAACATTACACAATAAACTTTCCTATATAACATTTTGTGGGACCCACATTTTTTAAAGAAAAAAAAGAGAGATTACGGCACACAAAATGAATCTCTATAACATTACACAATCATTTTTCCTACAACATAACTCTTATAAAACCCTATTATAAATATACAAAAGTACCATTTTATAAATTACAATTACCTAATGAGGCAGTGGAAGAATAAGGAGCTTTTTTACGAATATTTTATCAGTAACTCCAAACCAGATCAAGGTGATCTATACAACCTATAATGATAAATGCCAAACCATTAATGTCAGATGGAATCCACCCGCATAGGGATGGATGAAGTCACAATTTACACTCTAAAATAGGAAAATATTTTTGGTACTCCTATTGTAATAAACACTCGGTATATTATTTATCAAATATGACAAAAAATAATACTTTTATACTACCCTCACTTTTGTAATTATTTTCACTCATATCCCATATTTTTTTTTGAATAACCAAAAGGAGCTCCTAAATAGGGATTGGAAGATAAATGCTTTGGTGGTTGAAATTTGGGGTGCACCGAAAAGTCTTAAACTAGGGTCTAATTCATGATGTTATGTACAACACCCAGAGTCCCAGAGTAAGTGCCACGTATTTTCCTTTTTTGTTTTTATTAAGGAAAAAATGTGTATCATTTTAAAGGATGTAAAATTGTGTTATTTTAAGTGAGAGAAAGAGATAGATAAAGGAGGAGAGAGAATGGACAAAAAAATATAAAAATATGGGTTCCACCTCTTCATGAGAGTGAAATAACATAAGTTGTGTAAGGACAAACACTTTTCCCTTTTGGTAAACATGTAGTGTTCTTTCTTACAGGGACCCATGGGATCATCACCCCAAAAGCTAATTCAAAGGATGAGAATGCCCAAGGTCGTATAAATTCCACACTAGTTGCCCCCTTTAAGGCCGATATCCACGGCGGCTTTCACTCTGACCCGGTGGTAGCCCTTTCTCCCTTTGGGCGGCTTCAGGCACCTATCAGGTAGCCCTTTTTGCGGTTCGACTCTCAACGAGAGCACCAAATGATAGGGACCCATGGGATCACCACCCCAAAAGCTAGCTCAAAGGATGAGAGTGCCCAAGGTCTTATAAATCCCACACTACTTGGCCCTGTTTTATCCCAAAAAGAAAAATCAATGCTAACATTTGAGTGAATTACACTTGTCACCCTTAAAATTTACTAATATTACACGCACAAAAAAGTCATAAAAGAAAATTGCATCCCAGTATACTTTTAAGTATACCCTGCCCATTTGAGTAACATAGCTAAAATAAGCTTAATAAGGTTCTTTTAATCATTTAGAACAATACAAAGAACATGAAAAAATGGTGGGTAGATGGTGGTGAGCATGATCAACAGTAACAGAAGAGTGGTTTGTATTAATTGGCGATCATTGATCTTTATCTATTATGTCCATAAATAATTAAATACATAGCATACCTACTCTCCTTTATATTGTCAAGGAGTTGTGCAATGTCAGCATATTCAAAAGTCACGGGACAGAGAATGATTTTAATAGACTAGCACTGACAAGATTGAAAATGAAATTGTATGCTTCTTTCTAAAATCCAAGAAAGAAATGATATGGCAAATAGTTGCACGAGCCTTGTGAGTGAACAAAGTTATGTTACACAGATGAATTGAATCTTCCATATATATGGCAAATGTGTGGGAGAAGATGTTCCGGGTAGCTCCAAATCTGCATGCAAAATGCAAACTTTGGCATTATGAGATTTTGTTATATATGATACAATAGCAGGATAGAGGTATTGAGTATTTGTTAAGACCTTCTCAATGAAAAGAACCGTAACAGCAATTAATGTGGCCGTCCAACGTGACCCTAAAGCTAAACATGCATAACCTTCATAGCTTACTTGTACTTCACGAGCATAGCATATCCAATACGTCACAATTAACTAACATTCTCTTATATTAAAGTTATAAAACCAGCAACCCTTGTCACCAAATCTGCAACTTTTCACTTCTCATCAATGAACAGCTTGAAATCCATCCAAGTTTTCTCAGAAACCAATCAAACACAAACTCCCACCAATTCTTTTTCCATGCAAATATTGGATTCATCTATTCAAAGTCTAAGAAAATCATGGAAGAGAAGACAAAGATGGTTGCTTCTTTTTACCAAATCCAGCCAACAAGATCTCAATAGAGCACCATGGCGTACCCTTTTGACCAATTTCCTAGAATCAACATGGATTCGTGTGTTCTCAATCTCGTTGCTCATTGTAGACCTCATCATCACAATTCTTGAGCTATCTTCCTCTTTAGTTTCATGTGAGAGAAAAATGAACAGAGCAGAACTGTGTTTCCATTGGATAGGAATTGGTATTCTTAGTCTTCTTTCAGCAAAGACAATGGCTATGCTAGTGGGGTTAGGCTATTCATTCTTCAAGCATCCAGGGTATGTTATGGATGGAGTTGTGGCCATTGGGGCTTTATTTTTGGAAGCCTTTGTGGAGAGGAAAGGTGGTGGTTTATTGGTTGTAGTGAGTTTATGGCGTGTCATTAGAGTTGTGGAGAGTGTCTTTGAGTTAAGTGATGAGGCCATTGAAGCTCAGATTGCAGGGATAATTTGCCAGTTTGAGGCACTCAAAGAAGAGAATATGAGGCTCTTAGAAATAATACATGAGAAGGACAACACAATTGAAAAGCTTAAAGAGGATTTAGATAAATGTAGAGATGGAAGCCCTTAAATGAATTCAAGAAAATTTTGAAATTCACATCGTGGTCTTGTACTAATTTAATTTAGCAAATGATCTTGCATCAAGCATCTTTTCTTGCTCTTTACACGATGGTTAGAGAAGACTTCTCTGCTTCTTGATCAATTATGATTGGTTGGAAGGAACACAGAAAAGGAAGAAAATGCATGCTTTATGAATAAGAAAGCTAGTGCCATTGCTACAAACAAAAATCATGAGGAAAAATGTATACATATTCCACGAACTTTTGGGTCTCATTGGAATCAGTTAAATCCATAAACATAGTTTATGGTATGGCGTTTGTTAAAAGGTTTTTTTATGATTCTCTTAAAAATTGAGAGTGGTAATCTTATTTACTCACATTTTGTACGAGATTTCTAAATTTTTTTCGGATATATGATTTTTTCCAAATTTTATTTTGTGTGTAAAATTTTCTGAGAATACCATACAAGAATACAGCTTCATGGGGTTTTTCTAGGATTCTCATGACAAGGAAAAATTTAACACAACCAGACATAGCATCAAGAAAATTAACCCAATATTTTCGGAAATATTTTGACTTACCAAATAATTTTTTCGATAATATTATCGTGATTCTCGGATAATTTTTTTTTCCTTTACCAAACGTCCCCTCATTCTTTCTAATAATTTTCATTAATCATGTAATGATACTTTACTCTTAAGCATTTTTTTTGGGGTACAATACTCTTAGGCATTTGAGTCGATGCTAATTGAGTTTACAAACTAGTTTATACTTTTTTTTCTACGCTTATGTAAGTCTCAATATTAGTAAAAATGATAATTTAATGTAGTTTTTTAATATAAAAATTTCACATATAATGACAATAAAAGGAGAAAAACGTGTATTCATAAGAATTCGTGCAGATTCAATGTTAATAGAAGTTGATTAGAGTGACATGGATATCTTAGTTTAAAACTTTACATGATTTTGTTATAATAGTATTTGTAATTATTTTTTTAATAATTTCCCACAAACTTGATAGTCTCACTTATTTAATACCTATCAAAGAAGAAATAAAAGAGAAATTTTATCTAATCTAAGGAGGTTATATTTAGAACTTTTTTTTCTTATAATTGTTTTTATTATTGATGGATAAAAATTAAATAAACCATTCGTATTTGATATTATTTTATAACTATTTATTTGATTTTAATCTAATAATAATTTAAAAATAAATAAAAGAGATTAAATATTTATAAAAGAAATAAGATTGTAACCATTAAGTACGTCTGAATACTAAATCACTCACAATATGCACAATCTTCTAGTACACTTTATTTATATATGACCCCCTGTAGCTAATGAGTGGATCATCTCAATGCTCACAAGGCTTGCCACACTTCCACAATTGTGCCACATCCGATTGACTAAGCAAATGACTCATACATCCCTTAATCATTATATACTACAAGAAAAAAGTTTATTTGTGACGAAAAAATTCGTCATAAATTTTGTCACAAATGACAATTTTCGACACAAATAATCAAATTTCGTCACAAATAAATTTGTGACACAGGAATTTGTGACGAAATTTACTTCCAACGTAGGAATTTGTGACGAAAGAATAACCACAAATAAAAGATATCTGCAATAGAGTTCAACACACATAAAAAGACACATCAACTGCTAGAAACTAGAAAGGTTTATTCAGCCAAATTCCTTTCAAAAGGGTAGGCATGCCCCTCTTGCCTATCTGTTTCTCAAGGTAGCAGCAGCAAATACTTAAGGTACACTATTATAAGCATTAAGCAATGCACTTCATTGTGCATCTTTCCAAGAAGAAAGTGGTGGAGTATCACATTCCTTCCATGAAGGTGTAGTATCCGCGTATCTATCACCCTTAACAGCATCTTCAGCAACAAAGGACTCAAGTTCTGCCATTTCTTCCAGTGTTAATTTGACAGATAAAGCGGCAATATTTTGATTGAAGTTCTCAATTTTTGTTGTTCCAGGTATAGGGCACACGTCTTTTCCTTGGTGATGAACCCAGGCCAACGCAAGCTGAGATGGAGTACATCCCTTCTTTGCAGCAAGTTCATTAACCCTCTCAAATATAGTCTTATTGTGCTCCATGTTTTCAGGTTGAAATCTAGGCAGATACTACAACACAACAGATTTAAATACATACACATAAGATTATATTTAGGTACCAATGATGGACATTTAAAAAGATAATAAGACAATTTCCCTGATTCCCATAAATAGTAAGATCCACGATTTCAGGTAGGATCAAGGGAAGCAACAATAGGCCATATCATCTTATAAAATCATATGTATTATTATATATTTCTCAGTTTTTTTTTTGTTCCTTTGGTCACACTATTGTGCAGTCTACCCAATGTACTACAGAGAAAATGATGTATGCATGAAGCAAAGGATCCAAATGATGAAAGATACACCATCTTTACCTTCTCTTCAAGCCATCTAATGTTTTCATTCATATTCTATTCTTTATTTTTGTTTTTCTTTTTTTCTTTTAAATTTGTGTTTGGTCATTCAGTATCTCCCCTCAAAGTCCAGATCTCAGTTTAGGACGAAAAGGTTAATTATAGGAAGAGAAAAGACCACTCTTGTAAAATCTGGCCCGACCCGAACGGGTCGACCCGGAACCCGGAACCTGGCGAACCGGTCATTGGACTGGTTCGGGTTAAGTATTAGATCGGTCATACATCGATCCGGTCAAACTCGATCAAAACTCGAACAAAACTGGCAAAACCTGGTCAAAACCGATGACCCAGTGACCCGTGACCCCGTCAGATCATGCATTTAAAAAAAAAACTAAAAAATCAAAATTGTTTCATCTAGTTAGAAAAAAATGTAGAATTCATTTTAAAGACTTTTTATAATTTTGTTTGCTAGTATACTCTTCTACAATGACTTCAAATTTCAGCTTTCAATACTGAAGCAATTTGTTGAATAATAAATAAAGAGAATATGACATATGTCATTTTAATGTAGTTGAATTTAAAAAATATGAGTGCAATGTTTATTGAGAAGTATGTTTATGGAGATTCTGAGTTGCAATTTAAATTGACATCGTAATAGCGTGCATTTTTATTTATTTATATTTCATGTTTTTGAGCTTATTTAGTGAACCTTGTTTAATTCATTTTAGATATGGAGAATACAATTGAATTTATATGTTCATATTTATATATATTTTTTATATATAATATTTATATATATCCGGGTTAACCGGTCCGACCAGTGACCCATCGATCTGACTATCCAGTGACTCAGTACCCCAACCAGATCGATGCTCGACCAGTACTCCAACCGAGTCGATGCCCAGATCGAATTTAATAACACTGATCAAAAGTAGTGAGGGATGAAGAGCAATAACGGAGGACTTGAATGTATTTTTTTGAGCTTAATTTGGAAGAAAGTTGTTTTTTAATTAATAAAAGAAACGGATAATATTTTTAAATAAATCAGAATCTTAAAAATAATCCGTTTTCTGCTTTTTTTGAGAAGCTAGTAATTGTAACTTTTTTTACAAAAATCTCAAAACCCAATCTCTAAATGAGGACAGTTGTCACGTGATTCTAGCCACTGCTAGATACGGTCATCGGTGTTATTAAAATCGGACCGATCCGTAAACTGGTAAATCGATTATATAACCAATCCAATTGAAGCAATGGACCGGCCATGCATTAAAACCGGTGCGACCCGACGATTTTCATAAAAACCGGTGACCCCGGTCGGTTAACCGGTGACCCGGCCCGGTCTCAAAAAAGTAAAAAATTCCAAATGTTTTTTTTCAAAAAAAATCATAATGGACATATTTGAATATTTTTTAACTTATTGACTTACATAAGTTATGTATCTACAACACTAATATTATCTCAATTATGTACTATGCAAAAAATTTTGAATTAATTTATAGTTAGAGATGTCGCTTTCTAAACCTAAAGCCCTGTATCACGATCATTATATTTTCGTTTGATTTTTTATTAGATAATAATATGTGATTTATTATTTTTTATATCAAAATATTTGAAATTTTTATCATTTTTTTAGATATTTAAGTATGTTTATAATTTTTTAATTAAATTATAAAATTGTATATAATTACCGGGTCATGCGGTTGAACAAGTGACCTAGTACCTCGACCGGGTTAATGACTGAGCCGATTTTAATAACATTGGAAAAGACAGTAAGTTCACTGGACGAATGCAGCCTCAAAAGTATCTACAACATCCCAGGTGCTGATGAGTACGAGGAGTGATCGCCGGTGCGAAAGGGCACAGATAAGGAGCGGCTACTGGCAGGCTTCCAACGGAGGTACATGAATGAATTGAATTGAATTGAATCGACACCTGAAAGAGAGGGATTCTAAAGACTGGACAGGTATGAGACTGCACAGTTGAGGATAGCTTATAAGAATTAATTTGTACTGCCTATACTAACAAGATGCATCTACTTCTCGATAACGCATAATGAAAGAACTCCAAAGTTAAGCGTGCTTGACTTGGAGCAATTTTGGGATAGGTGAACTCTTGGAAAGTTTTCCAAAAAGTGTGAGTGAGGATAAAACATGCTGAAAAGTCTCGTGTTAGTGCGTAAGGATAGTCATTAATCCTGCAAGTGACCGGGCATTAAAATAACAGGGGAAAACCAGTGACCAGCTTTGATATAAATAAGCATTTTTTTGTACTAACGTCTAACAGAATAAATCAATACCAACTCTATGAAAAGAAATGTTTCGAGGAAATCTCAATAGGTTGTGGAAGATTTATGTTAGGCTTTTGTTAAGGCTTGAAGCATGAGTATTTTATTTTCTGCATTTACTTCACTTGGTTATTTGACTTATTTCTTAGGCTCTAGACTTATGATGAAAATGCACAATCAAACAATTAAGAACTTTTGCAGTAGTTGTCATCATGTGCATGGTGGGCCGAAGCTATTTCTGCATATACTTATATCCCTTTGGAAAACCAAACAAAGGGAAGCACACATGATAGGTCAGGTCCTGTTTATTGTTTAGAGTTTCAACTGTGTTCTCACCAGCAGCAATTTACACATTACTATTACATATTCACAATATTTACTGGCGAAGTGACTGACATTCAAGGGCCTAGAAATAGTGCTAAGAGAGTTGATTATGAAAATGCACAAGTAATCGACATGAATTTGAGTAATAGCATGCATTTCCACAAACCTGCCGGAGGTCATCCTGTGACATATTCTCAATTAACTTTGCTCCTGATGAAAGGAATCCTCGCCCAAGAGGACTATATGCAACGATTCCAATACCAAGTTCCCTGACAAGGAAATTTTAAAAGTCATAATGTTAGACCTCACATCATTATCATTTCAGATTTATGGAAGTCCTACAAAAGAGAAATGTTGGAAAGCAAAACATAATGTTCCTAAATTAAATCACACCTGCAAGTTGGAACTATTTCTTCCTCCATATCTCTTGTCCATAGCGACCACTCCAACTGGACAGCTGTTATTGGATGAACTGCATGTGCTCTTCTGATTGTTGAAGCTGAGGCCTCAGACAGACCAATATATTTGATTTTGCCTTCCTCAACAAGTTTTTTAAGCTCTCCGATCTTACAACAGAAGAAAAAGGAAAAGTTGAAGTCATCATACATTGTCTAGTTATACACCAATATAAAATTTTATCATCTGGCAAACTATGGCTCATGAAAGTGAAACACATGAAAAAATGAATTTTGAAATTAACTACCGACATTCATCCCATGTATCGAAATCAAATCACATGTCCCATTCTCTGTTCCTCAAATAATTGAAAAATAATACCTCACTAAAAAAATAACAACTAAGAGAGAGTGAAGTGTTGTCATTTAAAAGGGCGAGATAGGAAGTGTGACAGGTGATTTGAATCCAAATGCATCTAATCAATCATATAATTAGATCGTATGTACTTATAGTATTACAAAATTCATCTTGTGCAAATAAGAATGTTCTTATATTAATAGTGAGTTTAATCTTTATTATGCTATAAGAAATAAATTTATTTCTTACACATATATAAAAGTATGTGGAGCTCATATGAAATCATGTAAAAAGAAGAGAAAGAAAAAGAAAGCAGGACCTCACATACTTTTATATCTGTAAAAAATAATTTTATCTTATATAATATGATAGACATTAAACTCATTAAAATTCCACAGTAAGTGTAAAGCAAGGAAAAATCAACTTGAGTTATAAAGAGTGTTCCAATCAATATTTTGGGAATAAGGTTTATCATATTATAGGAGATAAATAATTTATCTCCTACATATATATAAAAGTGTGGGGTGCTCATATTTTCTTTTTCTCACTCCTCTTCAAGTACTCAATCCGTCTCCTAGCTAGTCATCAGGCTAGTTCGAGCACAACCCGGTTCTGATACCACTGTGAGACGAGTCCAGGGGGAGTCCATGGTAGGGGACCACCATGGATGGGCTAAGCGAGACCAACTACATTACATGGGTTCGATACCATGTTACAACCCAAAACTTTAAGACAAATTGTGTAGAATAAGTATTCACATTGTGTTCAACACATGCCATTATATTTTTCTAGCAGTTTAGATTCACAAAAATCCAGCACACAGACACACACACATATATATATATATATATATACACGAGGAAAGATTCGTTTACAGATTTTTTTTACAAATTATACTATGTACTCCCGGAAGAACATAGTGTATCCTAATGTTCTCTCAGGAAAACATAATGTAGTTTGTAAATATATCCCTCCTCACTATATATATATATATAAAAGAATAATTCTAGTAAAACATTTAGCACGGGAAAAAAATCTCATAATTCACCTGGCCTTACGTGGATCTCATGCGCTTTTATATACGTGTAAGATATAAAATATGAAAAAAATTAATCCAATTAAAATTTCGAAAGTGTAAAACAGGGAAGAATCAGCATCAAGTTTAAACAATGTTCCAAGTTCCAATCAATATGTCAGGGAAAATATCTAATTTCCTGAGTAAACTATAAGCTTCATAGTACTCTGTTCAAGTTACTGAAAACATTACCAAATCAAACTTTTTCTGAATCTCCAGAACCCAGGAACACAACCACATTTGTTAACAAGAAGGTGCCAAATATGTTGATATATAAAGAAAAGAAGAGAGTCAAAACTCAAAAGACAAAACCAAAGAATAGAGAAAGGATCGAACCGTGACTTCAATTGGCACACGAGTATCAACACGATGTTGGTAATAGAGATCAATGCAATCGATACCAAGTCTCTTCAAGCTTCCCTCACAAGCAGCTCTCACATATGCTGGATCACCACGGATCTCTATTTTCCCTTCAGCAAAATAGGCTCCAAACTTTGTAGCCAATTCAGCCTTCTCTCTCACCCCTCCCTTCAGAGCCTGTCCAACAATTTCATACATGCACACTTCATCATATCATATGATCATATGCATGCTCAAAGCACATGTCAAAGCAAATTGTAACATAATTCAAACCCACAATTATCATATCAAACAAGACATAAGAATCAAAAGAAAATCGAAAAGGGTAGCTGAATCAAACTTAAAGTCGGAACCTTTCCAAGAAGGATTTCATTGGTGTGAGGGCCATAGACGTCAGCGGTGTCAAGAAATGTGACACCACTTTCTATGGCATGGTGAATAAGAGCAATCATGTCAGGTTCTGGCTTAGGAGGGCCATAGAAAGCAGACATGCCCATGCAGCCAAGACCCTGCAAGGACACCTCCAAGCCTTGTGATCCCAGCTTCATTCTACCCACTTTTGCCATTGCAGCGTTGTGATGTGCTTTCACTACCCTTTATCCCAAATCAGATTCCACTATATTTAGTTTATATGTACGAATCCCTAATGGTTATTAGTACTATATAAGGCCAGATAGTGAATACAAGTCTTCGTTTCCTTGTAGTCTGCCGACTACACTATTCTAGGTTTGTAAAACTATGATTATCTTATTGTCGGATTTGTCTTGTCTATCTCTGAGCAGGTCATCGAGTATGTCATTTTTGTTTAGATCGTCATCGAGTATGTCATTTTGTGTGAATTTAGATCGTCATCGAGTATGTCATTTTTTTTTACGGAAAATTTAAAAAATACCTTCTCATAATCACTTATTCACTTCATAAAATTTTAATTATTATATCATAACTTCAAATTTCTTTATCACTTATCCTTTAACTTGATTTTCCATCGAAAAAGTAATGGGCTGTATTGGATTAGAATTTTGAAAGATTTTTTTGAGATAAATTTTTTCATAGATTTAAAAAGAATATTTAGAATTGGACGGACTTTAAAGATTTTTTTAAAAGACATTTTTTACAATCAAGATTTCATAAGATTGAATTTAAAGAATTTTAATAGAATTTATAAGATTTGAAAGGATAATACGGATTTATAAGATTTTAAAAAATCATATGAATTTTAAACAAACATTCAAAATTACAAGAGTCAATAAGAAAATAACAAAAAAATGCAATGATATTAATAAAAAAAAGTAAAATCTAATATAATTTTCTCAATCAAGAAAATATAATATAATTTTTAACAAACATTCAAAATTACTTAACAATAACTCTCCACATATTTAAAATTATGGAAAAAATGTTTGTCATTTTAAATGACACAAAGTTATGTCATTTTTAATGAAATTACGTCGTTTTGGTAAGTTTTTACATTCTCTCTCCTCCATTTTGTTTTTATTTCTAATTTTATAAATTAGAGAAAATGAATAAACACACCAAAATAACGTAGTTTCATTAAAAATGACACAAAGTTGTGTCATTTAAAATGACTAACACTAAACCCTAAAATTATATTAGTCCTCCATGCATTAACATTTTCTCATTCATGCTCTTGGGTTTAATTAATGAGTTAAAAATTATCTTCTTCATTTGATATCAGAGCTACGTATATCTGATTATAAGATTCAATTTTTATTTATTTATTAAAATAAGTCTAGGGTTCCTTGTATTCTGCCAACCACAGTATTCAAGGTTTGTAAACTATGATTATCAAGTCTTCGGTTCCTTGTAGTATGCCGACTACACTATTCTAGGTTTGTAAAACTATGATTATCATATGAGAAAAATATTTGTCTTTTTAAATGACACAACTTATATCATTTTACTTTTATAAAGAGGTGGACCCACATCTTTATCTTTTTTTGTACACTCTCTCTCTCTTTCTATCTCTTTCTCTCACTTAAAATGCAGTGTTATTAAATCCGACCCGAGCATCGACCCGATCGGGGTAATGGATTACTGGGTGGTCGGACCGTTGACCCGAATATATATAGATATGTAAAAAAATATATAAATATGAACATATAAATTCAATTATATTTTTTATATCTAAAATGAATTAAACAAGGTTCACTAAATAAGCTGAAAAACATGAAGCATAAATAAATAAAAATGCATGCTATTGCTATGTCAATTTAAATTGCAACTCAGAATCCCCATAAAGATACCTCTCAATGACATTGAACTCATGTTTTTCAAATTCAACTACATTAAAATAACATATGTCACATTCTCTTAATTTATTATTTCGCAAATTGCTTCAGTATTGGAAACTGAAATTTGATGTCATTGTAGAAGTGTATACTAGCAAATAAAATTATAAAAAAAAATTACAATGAGTTCTACATTTTTTCTAATAAGATGAAACAATTTTGATCTTTTGATTTTTTTTTTTTAGAAAATGCATGACCCGACCGGGTCACCGGTTTTGACTGGGTTTGGCCAGATTTTGACTGGGTCGATGCATGACTAGTCCAATGCTTGACCCGGACCGGTCCAATGACCGGGTCGCTGGGTTTCGGGTCGGGCCGGGTTTTACAACAATGTTAAAATGACACAATTTTATATCCTTTAAAATGACACACACTACACTTTTCCCTTATCATATTGTCAGATTTGTCTTGTCTATTTCTGAGCAGGTCATAGGTTTAATATTTTGTGTGAATTTAGATCGTCATCGAGTATGTCATTTCTTTTTAGGGAAAATTTAAAAAACACCTTCTTTTAATCACTTATTCTCTTCATAAATTTTTGATTATTATATATCCTAAGAAATTTCTTTATCACTTATGCTCTAACTTGATTTTTCATCGAAAAACTAATGTTATCAGAGATAATTTTTTTAAAAATATCAAAGTTACCCTTAAAAAAAAATAGCAGAAAAAAGCTAATGTTGTATTTTACGTCTTCTCTCTTCCTCTATAATGACAAAGAAGAAGACTACGACATATCAGATAAAGATAGATAAGATGACACAAGTCATGGTTCATTTTTTCTGTTTTATTTTAACGGTAGTTAAGGTATTTTTCAAAAAAATTAACTTTGTTAACTTTATTTTTGGATGGAAAAATAAGTTAGAGGTAAGTGATAAAGAAATTTGGTGTAAATGATTCAAAAAGTGATTCAAGAAGAAACTTAGAGGGGATTTTTGAAGTTGTTCGTTTTTTATTCAATAGTGGGAATTGAATAAAGTATCAAATCCCTCACCACTAAACCTATCAATATTATAATGTCTTATCGAGTATGTCATCTGAATGTATAAGGAATGAATATAGTTTCTCATATATCACGAGACATATAAAAAAATAGGTGAGATCTAATAAGGAAAAAAGAGAGAAAAAAAAGGTTTACGAAGGAAAAGAGAGAAAAAAAAGTGAATCTCGTCTACTTTTTTATGTATTACACGAAATAAATTATTCTATACAACATGAGAAACTATATCCTCAATGTTATTTATAAATGATTTTTTTAACAAATAAATAAATATTTGATTTAAAGGTAAACACTTTTAAATATGTAATAATTCGTAAGGTAAAGTGTGCAACCATGTCACTTTGAGAATGCTAGTGGTGTAAAATCCAGCAGCTACAGTTGGATCCTAGTTCTGCACGGAACAAGGGTGCTTTGATATACCTCCTCTTTACATCTCGTATGATTTTAGAAAACCCTCAAATCGAATTTATATCATTGTCTTTTAATTTTTAACCACCACATTAAAAAAAAACACTTGGAGATACACTGAAATGAACATTTAAATACACATTAGATTATATTATAAATATACAAAAGTACCATTTTATAAAGGGAAAACATTTCTGCAGCCACTTTAGATAAGATTGTCTACAGCTACCCTTTTTAACAAAGTACGACCGGTCGTACATTAAAAGTGCATTTTCTCTCTCCGCCACGTCAGTTGACATTGTCTGAGCAGAGAGAAAAATAGAGCAGCTTTATTGTTATAACTAAGTACGACCGGTCGTACTTAGTTAAAAAGGGATAGCTGTAGATAACCTTATCTAAAGTGGCTGTAGAAATATTTTTTCCTTTTATAAATTACAATAATTACAATTACCTACTGAGGCAGTGGAAGAATAAGGAGCTTTTTTATAAATATTTTATCAGTCACTCCAAACCAGATCAAGGTGATCTAAACAACCTATGGTAAATGCCAAACCATTAATGTCAGATGGAATCTACCCGCATTGGGATGGATGAAGTCACAATTTACACTATGAAATACCAAAATATTTTTGGTACTCCTGTTATAATGAGCACTCGGTATATCATTTATCATTTATCAAATATGACAAAAAGTAATATTTTTATACTACCCTCACTTTTATAATTATTTTCACCCATATCCCACAATTTTTTTTTTTGAATAACCAAAAGGAGCTCCTAAAATAAGGATTGGAAGATAAATGCTTTGGTGGTTGAAATTTGGGGCGCACCGAAAGGTCTTAGACTGGGGTCTAATTCATGATGTTATGTACAACACCCAGAGTAAGTGCCATGTATTTTCCTTTTTTGTTTTTTTGGTAAACATGTAGTTTTCTTTGGGCCTGTTTTATCCCAAAAAGAAAAATCAATGCTAATATTTTGAGTGAATTACACCTGTCACCCTTAAAATTTACTAATATTACACACACAAAAAAGTCATAAAAGAAAATTGCATCCCAGTATACTTTTAAGTATACCCTACCCATTTGATTAACACAGCTAAAATAAGCTTAATAAGATTCTTTTAATCATTTAGAACAATACAAAGAACATAAAAAAATAGTGGGTAGATGGTGGTTAGCCATGATCAACAGTAACAAAATAGTGGTTCGTATTGGCGATCATTAAGATTCTTAATCTATTATATCCGTAAATAATTAAATACATAGTATACCTACTCTCCTTTATATTGTTAAGGAGTTGTGCAATGTCAGCATATTCAAAAGTCATGGGACAGAGAATGATTTTAATATACTAGCACTAACAAGATTGAAAATGAAATTGTATGCTTTCTTTCTAAAATCCAAGAAAGAAATGATATGGCAGATAGTTGCACGAGCCTTGTGAGTGAACACAAGGTGGTTGGTTCAGAACAAAGTTATGTTACATATATAGATGAATTGAATCTTCCATATGACAAATGTGTGGGAGAAGATGTTCTGGGTAGCTCCAAAACTGCATGCAAAATGCAAACTTCGGCAAAAATTCCGTACTAGTGTTAATTTGCAAAAGTATCTCCACGCTGAAACACATCTGTAAAGATTGACGAGAGTAGAGCAGTCAAACACGTAGGGTTGACTGACGTGACCAGTCCCGCCACATACAACGACGTGATCAGGAGCCACATAGGATGTCTGCATCTATCCCGCCATTTGGTCTGACTCATTTGAGTCCCGCCGTATGAGTTGACACACTGTCATCCGCCACGTGCCTTGACGTCTCTCACTCATTTGCACCTTATCCCTGCGCACCCCTTCAAACCGTCTTCTTCTCTCCTCTCTTACCCGGTTCGTCCATTTTCGTAACTCGGTTGTGGAGCAATTGTGGGAAACAAATTTTCGTTGGCCAAATTTTCTTCTCCAGTCCGTTGGCACCTC